AATATATATATTAAGATTAGGATCGTTAACATTTTCTAGTTTTGCTCTAACAACATTAAAGGTTTTTTCTAACGCAGTTTTATCACCAAAGGAATAAACAGAAAGTTATTCTTGTCTAACAATCGGAAGTTCCATTTTAGTAGATACATCTTTAGTTATGAAAGATCTCATTGGGCCATTATCAAAAAGAATTCTGACATTTTCAGATTTATCATTATTTCGGATCAATGCAGAAGCCGTTTGTAATAATATTTTATTAGATCTATTTTCATCGGAATTATATGACGAAACAGCGGAAATAACGCTCGAATCCGACGTTTTCTTTTCAGGTTTTTCATTACCTTTTTTCTGATGGAATGAATAACAAATGGCTTTCGAGTGTTTATTAAAGCAGAAGGCACAGTTTATTTTTTGTTTACAATTTTGAATCCGGTGAAATCGACCCAAACATAAAAAAAACACCGCAATTCACGTTTTTAAGATCTTTTTTCTCTCTTTTTTCTTTTCTACACTTAAAATTTTGCAATCCGCAGATTTATGATTTGTGTTCCCGCAGAACAGACACTGCGATTCGGATGACGCCGCTATTAACTCAACTGTAGACGGCTTGCTCGTTATGGCTGGAGAATGTTTATGCTTGAAGGGCAAATGCTTTTCCAATCGTGAATATTTTTCTCTAGAATTATAATTAACAGAAGCCGCGCGTTCTCTACTGAATACTTCGTTCCTCAAAAAGGCTAACAAACCTTTTAAATCCCAATTTTCGTCTTTAATTTTTCAGCTATGATCAAGAACGAATTCATTAGGAAGTAATTTCAAAATTAAAGGCGTTAAGAGATTTCCGTAGGTATCAGAGTCTATTTTTAATGCTTCAAGATTTCTTATCTGTACTTCGGCGTGATCTAAAAGTTTTCTTAATCCGTTTATATCATTAGGATTTCTAACAGGTGAAGTACTTAAGAGTTGTCCTAAATGCGAATTAATTAAGATGTTCTTTTGACCAAATCTGGAACGTAACAGTTCAAGAGCAGCCTCGTAATTATTTTCGATGAGAGCGAAACCAGAAATAGCTTTGGCGGCTGAGCCACCAAGAAAGCTTTTTAAGTAAATTAATTTTTCTATTTTTGATAAATTCGGATTTTTATCAATCGCATTTTCGAACTGACCTATGAATTCTAACCAATCCGAAGAATCACCATAAAATTTAGAGATCGTTAATTTTGGAAGACGAGTGAATTTGTTACTTTCGTTTTGGGATTCTGTAACGGTTTCATTAGAAATGTCCCTACTTGCATTGACGGAATTTTCTAGCTTATTCAATTCTTTCAACTTTTTCTTTCCTCTAAACTGCCACACTTGAATTTTCTCTTCATATTCCAAAGCGGATGAGATTTCAAGTTCAAATTCATCCTCTTCGACTTTTAATTCTCGTTCTATTTCAGCGTCTAAATTGCTCAAGGATTTTGATTTTTCGTTTAACTGGTCTAAAATTTCTTCTAATACATTTACATTTATACTACTATCATCTTTATTCAGTTCGGTTTCAATTTTCTTTAATATCTTGGACACTCCGGTCCTCAATACCTTTCGTTTCGATTTCAGTTTAGCAATAAGATCTGCCATATTATATCAAAATAGAAAATACAGGCTTACCTTGGCTGTCTTCGCATAAAATGATATCCAAAATTAAAAAACACAAACTTCTAAATTGGCCAAAGGTTCTCGGCACCGATGCACCATATTGCGAAAGGTTGATCTAATTCTAAATGAAGTGAAATACTTCAACAATCTACAAAATAATCATTTTATTTACAAAGCAACCTGGATTGCATCGAAGGTTCACTGCTAACTAATTACGTCGCAAACTAAAAAACTAACATTCTTTTTCAGAAGCGAAGTGCCCTCTAACGGCGATACATAAATCATTTGGGGGATTTTTCCACACCGTCCTTTTATAGAAGGCAACAGTGGACACCTATTAGGTGATTTCACAGTAAAATGGCCAATACTTCTGGCCTTAGTAGTGGCCTAGCCTAAGTCGGCTAAGTGCCCACCATTGGGGGAAAAGTATTGATAATTTTGAAACCACTGAAAATGAACCCTTAAGGAAGTTACTGTATTATATTAAATCTGAAGGTATTTCTGTCACTAAATTAATTAAATTATTATGTAATGTTGGAAGAATAAGTAGAAATGTGATATTTTATATTGTTAACTCTCATTTGAACTATTTATTATTATCTTCATCTTGTGTTCTCTTGTTTCAACTACAACTGAACTTTACTGATTATGATGTGATCAATTTTTAAGGAAAATATAAGTAAAGATGTATGTCTAAATAATCCTCTTAAGAATAATTTCTTACATTTATGTGAAAATAACTCAAAATGAAAAAGATTATGCTAATGATATTTCAAAAAATGAATGTGATAATTCCTGTGTAAATAACCAGTTGCAAGAATTATTAATTATATATTCATATATTTGCCAAAAGTAAATATGATGTAGGCTTGTTTATTAATTAATACTGAAATTAAAAAAACAAATAGATGAATTATTGCATGCAGGTGTTATAAAACCAGCATTTACACCTTATGCTGTCCCTGCAACTTTAGTCTATAAAAAATAACGAAAATGCAAAAACTAGATTATGTACTGATTATAGAAAACATAACCAAATTACTAAAACCAATTCCGAACCCATACCTAGAATAGATGCAGTATTAGATCACTTGGCAAATGCAAAAGTATTTTTTACATTAGACCTCATCTGGATATTGGCATATCAAATTAAATGAAAATAATACTGAAAATTAGCTTTACAACTAATTTTTGTCATTTTTAATTTAATAGATTATTTTTTTCGTAGGAAAAATTACCAAACTATTTTTCAAACAGCTCCAAAACAAATTTTAAATACAGTCAAAAGTCGTTAATCCGGACTCGTCGGGACTTCGGCGATTCCGGATTATCGATTTCTCCGGATTATAGATCATCAGTTTAAATATGGTAAGATGGCATGCAGAAATTACAAAATTAAAAATATGAAACCGTAATTTATGAAATAAAGAACAATTATGATCTAAAGGGTATCAAAATTTACAAAAAGAAAAAAGCTTAATATTTATTTGTTTACTTTATTAAACATTTCCTTCAATGTAAGTTGCTTCGTTTCATGTGATAATACTTTCTCTTTAATTCTATTAAACAGACATAATTTCTTCTTTAGTTACAAAGTTCCGCTGTTCAAGTCCTATAATTGCTGTGTTGAGAATACCGACTAATCTGTCAATCGAAATGTTTTCGTTTTCAATAACCTCTGGGTCACTTTCTTCACTATCCGAAGCGAATTATAATGACGATGAACTTGATTTAAATCATATCAAAGACAGAATGAAATACTACACTTAGTATGGAATTATAAACCAAATAAAAAACATCTGCCCTGAAGATAAGGATAGTGCTGACAGATCAACTTCCAATCCCCCGCGTGAAATTGATAAACAGATTTCGGATCTCAAAACATACTTTCGCTTTGTAGATACAAATTACATATTAGTAAATATATATCGGAAATTCTATTTGACATAATCTTTATAATCTATCATAATCTAATAATGACGTTTCTGCCCCCCCCCTCTGCCACAGAGCAGCGTGAAATTGATAAACAGATTTCGGATTTCAAAACATACTTTCGCTTTGTAGTAAATATATATCGGAAATTCTATTTGACATAATCGAGCTTACTTTTATAAAATTGCTCTAACAGTCTGCAAAAAATAATAAGCCGGATCCAACTCGAAGATTAAGGAACAACGCAATCGGCAACATTAACTGAATTAGATAACTTTAGCTTAGCGTATAACTCCGTTACAATTTAATTGCGCATGCGCACAAACATATTCGCAGCCGTAAGGGTCTTACGCGCTCTCGCAAATGCCTGTGCGCATGCGTGAACGCGACGCATGCGCAGAAAGTTTGTAGCTTTGAGGTCCGGATTATAGATCATTCCGGATTATGGGTGTCTGAATTAACGACTTTTGACTGTATATATCAAATTCTGTTTGCCTTAAATTATTTTGATGACATAATAGTATTTTCCCCAAATTTTGAAGAACTTTCATAGTGTCTTAACCACATGCACTAAAAAGACGTGCCACGCACGTCGAGATGCTTTTGTCTCATTTCATAGATGCGAGTGGCGTGAACACCACATCGATACGCATTTATCGCAAAAATGAAAATAACATGGTGCACACGTCACCTAACAATGAGATTGTTTATTTCTCGAGTTACAGCTCTGGATTGCACTCGCAGACATGGAGTGGCATAAATGAGACACTTTGCCACTTGTTACATTGTAGCATACGGCACCGCAACCACGAAGTTTAGTCGTAGTGCAAGTGGTTAAAATAATATTTGAGATACGTGAAAAGAAAATATAAAATTAAAATACTTACAATGCCATTTTGCCAGAGAAAAAATAAATTTTCTAGGATATGAAGTTCAAACAGGGAAATATCAACCCAATAATGCAGATATTAAAGTTATTAAAAATTAATAATTCCCTAAAATATTAAAGAATTACAAAGAATTCTTGGAAGTATTATGTACATCATAATTATGCAAGAATTAGAGCCCCTTTAAGAAATTTACTCAAAAAAGATACTGCACATAAATAACTGCCTGAATGCCAAACAGCCTTTCAAAATTTAAAATATGCTTTAATTTCCAGACATATTTTAACTTTATTTAATCTAACATATCCTTGTCATGCATTTCTAAATTCATTTAATGTCATGCCAGTTTTAAGTTAAAGACACATTTCTGAATAATTATTTCTGTAAAAGATAAAAATAATGTTTTAACCATCAAGCCAGTAGTGATTTTTACATTAGTCCTCATCTATCGACCCTGACTTAAGCGTGAACTGGTTTTCAGCTCCTGCAAAAATTCAACTCAGAAACTACAACATCTCACACACACATATACTGTTTTACCTGGGACTGACGCAATCATGTGCCATCTTTTACTTGCATTTCCAAGACCTTTTGGAGGATAATTATAATCTGGCACTTCTGCAGTTGCACAAAGTGGGTCATCTAAACTCACAATCTACAGAAACATATTAATAAAATTAATTCAAACAATACTTAAAATAGCATATATATCTAATCAGAATGTTAGATTTAAATATCTATACATAAAAAAAATCAAAGCATTATTTGGAAAAAAAAGCATACCATAATTAATTTATACTTTTGAATATTATTCAATGATGCCCACTTTTACATAGCCTTAATTATGTATCTCATATCACTTAAATCTATATATTTACTGCATATTCCATGATTAAATATTATGAGATATAATTAAGAGATATACATTTATATCTATATATTACTGTATATTCCATGATTACATATTGATATATAATAAGAGATATATTAATGCTATTTCTATTCTATTAAACTGAAATTTAAAATCTAATATTTAAAAAGTTATATATTAACTTACAGCACTTTAAACTGCTAAATAAAGGTTTGAAGCACACTTTAAACATTAGCCATAAACTTCTGACAAAACTGTATTAAATATGCCCACAGAACCAAGAGACTTACAATTTTCAAAATCAGTTATTTAATTTTCCTTTATATCCATGCAGCTCAGCATACATCCAAACTTATCATTACATGTTAGAAATTAAAATCTCCCTATGAACAAAAAAAGTGATTAAACAAGAGAGAAAACTTAAAAAAAGTTTCTGTCTTTGCAGTAAAAGTATACTGAACTCCTAATTTTATATGCGGATTATTCATTCTGCAGATTAATCATTTATTATTCCTCAAAAATATTCTGGCTAATTCTTGTGAAAGATGGAACATTTCTGACTCTTTTAGAAAAACATTCGCTATTTCTGATGTTGTGAATCACCATACTGTTATCTGCAATTAAAAAGCTTAATGCTGATTCACAGATTTTGGTGGGAGAAGGGGAGAAAAAGAATACGAAGCCCATTTTAAACACATGCAATTTTATCTCTCCCCCATAAAAACTAGCAAAGTACAGTAGGGGGCTTTTAATAGATGGGCTTTGGGTACCTTCATGTACATTTGTGAATTCTGTCTTCCCCATAGAAATAACTCTCATTCCCACGTAATTTATGCCATAATAAACTTCACATATCCACATATTCGACTCATTAGAGAATCAGGGACTTACTAATATTATAATAATAAATACAGTGAAATCTCTTGTAATGACACCTCTAGAAGTGAACAGTATTTTTCAGAACATAAATAAGCTCAGATATTGAATATCATCAATAATTATTTTCTCTTTGGTGATCACTTTTCCAAAAACAGAAGTAATTAAAATCATAGCATTTGTTTGGATAATTTTACTCAACATGTGAGGGGAAAAGAAGAGGATTACAGTCAAAAGTCGTTAATTCAGACACCCATAATCGGACCTCAAAGCTACAAACTTTCTGCGCATGCGTCACATTGATGCATAGCCGCCGTTTACGTGACGCATAGCATAGCCGTTTATGTGCGCGCGTAAGACCTTTACGGCTGCGAATATGCTTGTGCGCATGCTCATAAAACGTTTATGCATGCGCGTTTAATGTATAACAGACGGTGTAAGCTAAGCTAAAATTATCTAATTCAGTTAATGTTGCAGATTGCGTTGTTCCTTAATCTTCGAATTGGATCCGGCTTATTATTTTTTGCAGACTGTTAGAGCAATTTTATAAAAGTAAGCTTAAACTTTCGATTACATCAAATAGAATTTCCGATATATATTTGTTAACATGTAAAGGATCTAAAGCGAAAATATGTTTCGAAATCCGAAATCTGTTTTATCAATTTCACGCTGCTCGGCGGGGGAAACGCCGCGGCGCGTAATGAATTGGAAGTTGATTTGTCTGTACTATCCTTATCTTCAGGGCAGATGTTTTTATTTTATTTGGCTTATAATTCCTTACCAAATGTAGTATTTCATCTTGATGTGCTCCGTCTTTGATATGATTTAAAACAAGTTCCTCGTCATTATAATTCGCTTCCAATAGTGAAGAAAGTGACAGAGGTTATTGAAAACGAAAAAAATTCGATTGACAAATTAGTCGGTATTCTGGACACAGCAATTATAGGACTTGAACAGCGGAACTTTGTAACTAAACAAGGAATTATGTCTGTTTAATAGAATTAAAGAGAAAGTATTATCACATGAAACGAAGCAACTTAAACAACTTACATTGACAGAAATGTTTAATAAAGTAAACAAATAAATATTAAGCTTTTTCTTTTTGTAAATTTGATACCCTTTAGATCATAATTGTTCTTTATTTCATAAATTACAGTTTCATATTTTTAATTTTTTAATTTCTGCATGCCATCTTACCAGATTTAAACTGATGATCTATAATCTGGAAAAATCGATAATTTGGAATCGCCAAAGTCCCGACGAGTCCGGATTAACGACTTTTGACTGTATTAACTGTTTGAAGTAATATGACTGTGCAGCAAAGTTTTTTTCTCTCTCTCAGTCAATGAAATTAACTTATCTATTGGGCTTTAAAATATCCTGTCACATTACCAAAGACACAAACTGGCCTATAAGCATACAGAAATTGCTGTGACAATTTTGGATCATTAACTTCCTTCATGAAAAATTATGACGAATAATCTTTAACTTAGAATTATGAAGAATAATCTTTAGCAATCTTTAGCTTTTAATCCAAGTATGTATTTTATATTAAAGTATTTTACATATGCTACATTACTAAATATTACATCACATACCACAGCTGCCAACTTTGAAACATGAAAAACCGAAAGGTATTTTGCACTGCGCGGCGATGCCACTTTAAAAAAGCTAAAAATTGCCTTAAATTTGCTTTATAATGCAAGATTTAAGTTACTGAAGTTTACATAATATAATTCTAATGTACAGTATATTAATATTTAATTAACTAGTTTTAATTTTATGTTCTTTGGCTATTTTCATTTTTAAATGTAATTTTAAATTTTGTAAGTTTCTTACACTTTTATGCTAAGAAAATTCTGAGTGGGGAAGAAAAGCTTTTACTTATCTAAGTACTTAAACAAAATGCAATTTAAATTAGCAATTAATGTACATACTAAGGTGTGGATATAAAAGAAAAAAAAATAAATACAAATATTAACAGATTAAACATTGTTTGAATCTTAAAAAAAAAAAAAAAAAAAAAAAAAAAAAAAAAAAAACATATATATGTCTACAGTAGATTAAGACAATTCAGATTAAATAAAATTTTATAACAAAAATTTTTCTGAAAATCAATTCTGAAGGGAAATGGAATTTAAGTTCCTTTCATACAATAAATTTCACTTATTGCTAGCAAATAATTTCCTCAGTAAAGACTAAAAATTAAAAACCAAGGGATTCAATAATCTACAGTGAGATATGTTGAAAAACTGGGACAGCTGGCAGCTATGGCATACTCATTAACTACTGAGTACTACACATGAACAACTAAAGTATAAAAGGCATGATAATACAATCTCACTGGAGAAAGAGGTTTCTTCATTCTGATTACAAATGCAGGAAAATCATGATACTGGAAACAAAGGTTCTTCTCATATATTCTGTCCTCTTTAGAATCAAAACCACTATGCCACCAAAATGAACTCACTCTCGGATGCTGCTGAATCTGACAAAGAAAGATGATATTAATAAATTAAACAGTACATTGATAAAATAATAATAATAATATTACACTAATAATATGTTTTCACAAACAATATTCAGAATTGAATGAAATATTTTCTATCCAAATATGAAACTAGATCATTATAATGTAAAAAATTCCATTGTAAATGCTAAATTATAAATACTTAAAACATACCCCAAGCATTGTTTGAAAATCTTCGACTTTTCCTTCTTCTATGCAAAATGTACCCCCTCCCCGAAAAAATAAAATAAAATAAAATCAAACATTTCCCAAATCAAGCTTTAAATTGCAGAAATGCTTAATGTGCTTACAGCAGGAAATACATCCTTAGCATCAAGACTTAACTGCACTGTCCGATCACTCGAACAAAATAATCTCATATTTGCTTCTCACTTATTTAAATGTAAAGTAACATATTTTTTATATCACCTTCTAGAACATATGGCCTCTGCTTTGATACACTTGATTCTTTCTGCTGCATCTAGCTGTCTTTAATATTGTACAAAATATTTTATGTAGCATTGTTATAATATTACAATACTGTTTCCAGTTGCAAATCTTATTTGTGCTTCTGAATGATTTTCTTTTTAATTTCCATTATCTTTCTTCTCTTGCTGCAGCACTGTTATTAAAGAATAACAATTAAACTTAATAAGCTGAAATGCTGAAAGAAGGGGTTAAGGTATATTTAAAGGTGCTTCCTGAATTATCCTGAAGTTGTTGTTTCATTTAACACTTTCAGGGGCGGTGGTTTTGCCTTGAAACCGCATTTTCAACATTTTTTTTAATTTAGAAAATTTGGTTTTTTTCCCCTCAAAACCGCTGCTAAAATTAAATTACTTATTAAAGCTGATAACAGATGACAGCAGCAAACCTTTCTGGGCATCCATTAATTGATACGAATCATTCAAAAATAGCTTGTTTTGAACAATACTTCTTTTTGAGCTGTTTTAAAAGCAAGAAAACCCAGCCAAAAATTTTTAATTTTTCCACAATATATTTTATAAGCAGGCATCAATGATTAATGTGAAATGTCCTTGGTTCACCAAAAAAAAAGTAATGGAACCCTTTTAAATTTGAATGTTTTCATTGCGGTTTCAGTATGAAACCACCGCCCCTCTCTGGGACATCGAAGAAATGATCAGATGACGCAGTCGCGTAAGATTTTTGCAGTTGTGTTTATTGCTTTCAGATCACTGCTGTAAACAGTTGCACCAATATCTTCGTTTGAGTGGCTTCAAAGATATGAGGATTTATGGAGCTTTCGAGAGAGGAGAAAACATTTCTTATTTTTTCAGAGACACAGAGCACACTGAAAAACACTCGTAGTTGCGTTTTTTTTATGCTTCTCTTAGCGGTCGCTTTTCTCATGCTTCTAGTTCAGAGTAAAATAATTGCATGCATCTTAATTTATTTTATTTTACATATAATTTCTTAGTTTTAAACATAATTTTTTTAAATATTTCATAGTTTTTATGCAAGTGATTTAGTGCATTATTAGTTACTTTTTGTCTCATACTTTTTTGTTTCCTGTTTTAAATTTTTTATTTATAATTAAAAATGCATGTTTATGCAAATATTACTTACTTTATTAGTTGTTCAGTAATTTACTAGTATAATCTGCGATTTGGGTTACGTTTAGATACTTTTCAGCAAAGTAAAGATAAATAAGCAAATGTTTAGTGCTCTAGACAGGCGCTTGTTTCAAGGCGAAACCGGTCCCCTTAAAGTGGAACGGAAAATTTTTTTTAAAACTCATTTATGTTATCTATAGGACCATTGCATGTCATTATGTCTACTTTTTCGTAACTTTTAAAAAATCATAACATTGTGCCCCTAAAAGGTTTAAGGTAACCTGAGTAGTTGAATATTATGGAAACCCTGTTATGACATCACTGGTTGCATGATTGCAGTGAATTTGACTGATAGGAAAATATTTGTTGGATGTCAGTTAGAAAATACGTCATGTATTGTGTACTGTGCATTCTAAAACGGCTGCCGGCGATAAAGTGGGTGTTTGGTGGCATAGAATGATAGAGCAGGAGAAGTTTCCCCCTTTTTTTTAAGTAGTTGAGAACAGAAGAAAGGAAACTGTTCCATGTAATTCAATGGTATCCTGTTTGTATGAAGGAAATTAATATGGTCGAACATAAAGATTGTTCAGATGTGTTTGTTGGTTCAGTCATAATCGTTTTATTGTAAAGGTTTTTATTGTGTAATGCTCACCATATAAGTGTTCCATTAGAAAGGGAACATGGTTTGAGGAAAATTTTTGGATGCTGTTAAGGAATTTTGTGTGCCATGGATTGAAGACATGGATATTTCTAAATAAGGTAAGTGGATATTTCCTTTGTGTAGTTCTTAGATGGTACAAGATGATTTGTTTTATTTCATTGTTTGATTTAAAATGTAGTTTATTATATATTTTTCGTTTGGCTCTAGTGTAGAATTGGGTGCTCCTTTGACTTTTTAACTGAAAATAGATCGATGTGTATAGGGACAAAGTCAAGGGAATGTGCAATGTTCTGACTTTCGACCATATGCATTTTCCTTCTTACAGACAGGACACTTATAATGACTGTTAAGTACACCTTCATTTACACACCAGTCAATTAATGCTTTTTCCCCTTTCATTCCAAATCCTACAGAAACTTCAAATTTATCTTATAACATTCAGCCATTTTACTGCGTAAACCACAAAATAACAACGTACTTCTTATCCAAAATCCGTCATTCAAATTCAACGCAATCATGCAAATAATAGGGCCATTCTGCCAAAAATTCTGCCATCCAGTCGACATATTCTGCTGCCGCATCTGGGTTTATTTTGAATAACATATCAGTTATTCTTAATTAAAATAGCACTAAATGTAATCTTTTGGCCTATGAGTTTCATTAATAAAATCTATTTTAGCATATGAAAAGAAATTTTTGTTGAATTTTTCCTCGTTAACATTTCTTAGAGCATTTAAAAATGTATAATCATCACCAAGCATAATATTAGCATAAAAGGTTGCCATACTCGTTATTCAATTACTAATATATAAAAAAAAGTTTAGACATCCCTGCATGAATTATTACTGAACCTGTCATGTATTGATAAACATGCGGTGATGAAAGCAAAATATAATAAATAATGACTCGCCAGGTTGGCGTCAGGGATATAAAAAAGGTGAATGTTTTGGTTTGAGATGTATGCCAAGCAGATACTCAGCTACAGAGTCAAATTATTAATCTCTCAAATTTATGTTTACATGATTATAATTCCATAATGAGGTATTTTATTTAGTGCCTAAGTGAAATTAAGAATCGGAATATTTAAATGAAAATCTCCACATGTTTTATCATGGAAGGAAAAATCAAATGCTTAAAGCATACAAAAAAAAGTTTCTGGCTTTGAGGTCCGGATTTTAGATCATTCCGGATAATGGACGTCCGGATTACGGACTTTGTACTGTATTAGAGCCACTAGGAATCATAATGCCATTCGTTACCCATGTAAAGTGTCTTTCCCAAAAGCTGCAAAAAGAAAGATTAAAATTTATGCCCCTTAGCAGATCGTTTCTTTTTTGATACCAAGATTGGCACCAATTTCAAGATAGTGCCAATCCTTCCGCCCGCTACACAAAACCAAAACAAAAAATCAAAGACTTATACAAACTTAGTGTCCATGTACACATTGACCTATTTTAACTTGAAAAAACATCAGAGAATTGCACAAACTAGGCACTGCACATTGCCTTAACTCTGTCCATGTTACATATCAATCTATTTTCACTTAAAAGAAATCGGGAAGCTAAAACAAAGTGAAAACTATCATGTTAACCAGAAAAAATTCATTAGAGACAAACAAAAAAACCAAAAATACACAAACAGAAAGTAATAAATAACCAAAAATACATATTTCCTAAATTAAAAGCATTAAACAACAAATCTTTTAACAAAAAATAACACACAAAGTCGAATAAATAATTGAAACGTTTTTTAACATATCTTTTTTTCACGTACATACGTTCATGCTTCCCACCACCATCCTCCACGCAAGCAATCCAATTCAATTTTTGGTTGTTTTTTGGCTCACCTGCTGTTAATGCCGGATAAATACATTCAAATTCCCAATTTGAACAATCCAAATCATCAGCCTTCATCTTCTTACTTATCTTAGATATACTCAAATGATGGCACCCACCTCAAAATACAACACTAATGCATGTGCAAACAAACACAGCAACTGAAAAGAATGGTAAGAATTAAAAAAACCTGGTCCATAAACAAAAGGGTTACTATTACAAAAAATAGGCAAAATCTCAATTTATCACAACACATTTGGCAATATTTGCAGAAATAACCTCTTTCTAATGACAAAAACTTAAAAAAAAAAAAAAAAAAAAAAAAAAAAAAAACCACAAATTTTCCCCAAGGCTAATTTTGCCAACATTACGGTTACCAAAAAACCTATGCAGTGGGCTTCCAGATTTCACAAACAACCAATACCACTTTGTGATTTTTTTTTCAGACAGAAACCAAGGAGTGCCATACAGTAAAGATTAGTCGAAAGATTCCTTGAGATTACAAACTGCCTTCTGATATTCCAGCAGAATGGCAACAGATAAAATATTAAAATGCGCACGGTGAGCCTGTCGGCAGCATCAAAAGCAATTTGACTAACAAAAAACATCATGCTTTGTATCTGGTGAGACTGTTATGGTATTATCCATGAACAGTAATCTGAAAATAGTAAAACTCGACAATAAGGTGTACAGCTAGATGCTAGTCCATTTTGATGCTGCTATCAAGGAAAAACATCGAACTCAATTCCATCAAGATAATGCTAGACCGCAATTGTCTGCATTCACCGTCTGGATTCTGTACACAGACTGGAATGGGATTGCTTGCCACACCCACCATATAGCTCCGACATCCCTGCTTCGGATTTTTACCTTTTTTCGCATCTCTAGCTACATCTTTGAAAAACTACCAAAATGTTGGCAGGAAATAAAACATTTGGGTGGTGATTACTACCCATACTAAAGGCACTGTTTCATATTTTTTTTTCCCTAACATTATTAAGAACATTTGGTTAGAGTTGACTTTAAAATACCCCTTAGATTATCACGAAGTTGTGTTATCATTTATGGTAACCTGAGTAGTTGAATGTTATAGAAACCCTAATATGACGTAATCGTTTGCATTATTCCGGGAAATTTTGAATCATGGGATGCTTTGCAAGGGCTTTTGTGGTGTGTGTTGCTTAGGAAGTACATTGCTTGTTTCATTGTTTAGATGGTACAATGGCTGAATGTAGTAAGATTAATTTGAACTTTCTGTACGATTTGGAACAAAAGGGAAAAAGTGCATTAGGATTAGGATTATTAAATTATGGCAAAGCATACGAGGGCTATCTGTCTAAAGGGAGGGATGCCTTCGTGGAGGACTTTCTAAGGGAAACTGGCTCGTGAAAAGTGCATTAATTGACTGGTGTGTAAATAATAAGGTATACTTAGTAGCCATTTTCTGGGCAGTCCAGAACTATGCAAGATTTTTTTACTCTTATTTTTGTGAATTTATGTGGTGACACCAATATATGGATTTCAGTTCGGATAATTTTAGGAAGTTTTTGGAATTTTAAGGAATTTTGTGTGCCACAGACTGAAGACGAAGGAATTTCTAAATAAGGTAAATGGATATTTGGTTTGTGTAGTGCTTAAATGTATAACAGGTTTTCCCTTTTTTATGTTATTTTATTGTTTGGATTAAAATGCAGTTTATTGAGATTATGTATTTTTTGTTTGTCTCTACTGTAGAATTGGGTGCTCCTTTGATTTTTTAAATGAAAATATATTGATGTGCACGTGGACAAACTCAAGGGAAAGGCATAGTTTTTGCAATTTTCTGATGTTTTTTCAAGTGAAAATAGGTCGATGGATAAAGTCAAGGGAGTGTGCAATGCCATTTTTGTGCAATTCTGGGATTTTTTTTTAAAGTGAAAATAGGTCGATGTGTACATGGACACCGAGTTTGGGCAATTCTTTGTCTTGTTATTTTGGCTTTGTGTAGCGGCGATTTTTCAAAGAATTGCGCAAACTCAGTATCCATGTACTGTCAAATATTGCCAAGGGGTAACCTAAAATATACTTTTACTAAACATTTTTTTGGTGGAAAACATTTGTTACAACCAGATATGTGTGTAGTTTGGCTGTCTGGAGGGTTAATTTCACATAGATTCGAATATTATCTCTATTAATGCCACGAACTTGCAACTCATTTTAATAAGACTTTTCTGTCCAGATTGTCCTATGCCAGTCCGACTTCCCTGCTTCGGATTTTAACCCAGTCCATAAACAAACTTCGCTAAGATAAAAAGACTTTATAAATCTTTACTAAACCACTAATCACATCACATGAATAAGATACAAATATTTGTAAATTTTCTGAGTATCCATACCTCCATAAAATATATATATATATATATACTAGTGAGGCTATGTCGTTAAAAGTATTGATATAGAAACACAGGTCACCTAAGAATTCAATGTTAACAAAAAGTATTTATGTGTTAACCTAGTTATGCACACAGCACATGTGTATTTGACTATTCATTGATTTGCACTTTTGAAATTCAACAGTAATTTTTCTGATTACCATTTCTTTTTGCCATAATGAATCATAATGCAAATGTGGAGTTCACTCTCTTTATTTTAATAATGTTGGAGTGTAATAAATAATGATTAAACTTTCAAATGTTTTGGTAACTTGAAATTCATATCAAGCAAAGCATAAAGCATCTTTTTTTTAAAAAAACTTAAACAGCACCATTTTAAGCAGGATTGAAAGATATATTTTTCAGATCCAAGATGAATCAGTTGGCCCAGCTACATATACACAAAAAGGAACCATGCTTTAATTTAAAACCAGAAATTATTTATAGTATAATACTTCAAAGACCAAGTATTATGCTTCAGAATTCACGAATGTAACCATGCTAAACAGTTCATTTTACTGTAAGGATCAATTCTGAAGAAAATTCAGAATATTCCCCCCCCCCCAAAAGCAGTACTGATCACAAGATTACTGTTCGAAAGTAATCAATTTCCACTGAATTATATAACAATCTTTACGTATAAAATGTTACGAATCAGAACTTACCATGGATTCTAAGATATAATCATTTTTTAAAGCAAGTTTTTTATAACATTGTGATATTAGCATATTCACTAATCCTGAGCCAGCTGCTTTTTCATTTAAAAAATCGTCGAATTTCTTAGACTTATTTTTTGCCCAAGGATTATAATAATATTTCAACAAAGTATCACACAGAGTACTTTTTATGTCATTCAATTCATCATCAACATTCATATTTAGTAGCCGTTCTGGCAAGTTATCGACAAAATGAGTTCTGGTGATATACTGATAAAAGGGAACTGCACGATATGTCTGGGGAACACTAGAAAGTAAATATTTTAGTAATTTCATTCTTTGTTGCACAGCCAATTCATATAATTTTTGCTCAACTGTCGGCAAAGCCTTTATTGAATCATACCACAACTGACGATTGTGCCTCCTTTGGCCTTCTTTTGACATATCAACAATAGGAGGATATAAACAATCTTCTTTGCTGACAACCAAGGCATGTGAACACCGGAAAATAAGAACATTGTGAATTAGACTCTTCTCGGATAAAACTCTGCACGCTATCATTTTGGGGGAAAAAAAAGAGTTGCTAATGAATTTCAAAAAGCATCAAATTTTTATACCACCATCCCAATAATACAATTTATGCTTCAATAGTACAATTTTCTTTTATGAAAAGGTTAAGCCATTACTAGAAATTAGTTAACATTTGTATTTGTTTTCACATTGTTGCCAATTTCAGCCTTCCAAAGTTTCAGCATTAATGATATCAAAAATTTAAAAATTAATCAAATTCAAAATAATGATATTAATAGCTCCTCAAATAAATTCGAACTTTATCATGGATGCAAATTAGTTCAAATTTTAAAGACAAGAACCTTTTCACACTTATAGTAAGCTAAAATGAGTAAGGTCTCGCCTTTCTAATGCGCCATCTAATGCCCAAAAAGAGAAAACATAAAAAACTGTCATATGTTTGGCAATACTGCGTAGATTGTGAAGCACGGTATGGTCGAAAAATAATTGAACCTGTCAAAGTTCTCATCTCCTTTCTTCTTGCTCAAAAGCAAGATTCCTACAGAATTAAACCTTTATTTTTAATTTTTGCGGGCATTATGCATAATTTAAAAAGAAGTACAACCTTACACGTTTTGTTGTATATCACAGTGAAATTCACGAGCTCACAAGGAAAATCAGTTATGCTTTCATGGTACGCCTGGTTCGAAAATAGACGTTATGAAAGTGTGTTCTAAACATTTCCTAACAACTGATTTCATTTTTCCTCGTAAGAAACGTTTTGTTTATATATGCAAAATTTCTTTCTCGTATATATATGTATACATATATACAGATATATGTGCGAAAGTAAAGATGCATATTTGTGTAATGAAGTATAAATCATTATAACTCATTTATCTCTTAAATATTGTTAATGCATATACAGTTACGTTTTCATGCATATTTTATTTGCAGAAGTTTAAAATTACTTATGGTTCAGTTCATGTTAGCAGTAATTTAAAGAAAAATTATGTTATGATACGTATAAAAATAAGTTTTTTAAACATTAATGATGAATTTTGAATTTCAAATTCTAGTAATATTAAAATTTCTATGTATCAGTCAAACTATTAAACTGTGTCGAATAGTTTACAGTGGTTGAGGATATTTTGAATTAAAAAAAAGCTATACTTTTTGGTAAATGTTTACAATTGGGTGACCCTTGTTTCTTGGCGATTCCTTTTTGACGCCAAAATCGGCGCCAGGAAGGCACAATTTCAAGATGGCCGCTACACAAAACCAAAATAAGAAGTCAAAGAACTGCACAAACTCTGTGTCCATGTACATATCAATCTGTTTTCACTTAAAACAACATCCTAGAATTGTACAAACTAGGCATTGCGCACTGCCTTAAATTTGTCCATGTACATATCAATCTATTTTCATTTGAATAAAATCAGGAAGTTAAAGCAAAGTTGAAACTATCACGGTAACCAGAAATGAGGTTTCATCGGCAAAATTTTTAAAAAATTGTTGCTAATCGAAGGGGCACCCAATTCTACACTAGAGCTATACTTTTTTTTGCGCTATTGTTCATAACAGATAGCCATAGCTATTTTCTGAACTTGAAATTAAATTTCTTATTTTGGTTTTGTGTAGCGGCCATCTTGTAATTGTGTCTTCCTGGTGCCGATCTTGGCATCAAAAAGAATTGCCAAGAAACAAGGGGCACCCAATTGTAAGCTTTTACCAAAAGTATTACAGCTATCGCATCTTTTCTTTTATAGAACAGCATGTGCCAAACAATGTGTTACAGAATGATATACATTACCATTGTTACCCTTGGACACAATTATATTAAATACTTTTTCTTATCTCTTATAGCAGTGTTCTTTTTGAAGTAAATATTAGTAATAAAAAGCTTAGAAAAATTTCTCCATGGTGAAGTGAATGATGAAAGTATTTTTCTGACTGAAAGTATTGTATTACGTAATTAATTAGCTACTGTTGATCAAAGTTGTCAGCATCCAGTGATGTATGTAGGTTCTATTGATTAATCTGATTTTGAAAACAAGAACAAAATTCATTTACCTTTTTTGATGTTTCCTTGAATGCATCTGTGATGCCTCAGCTGGAAAGAAGAATCTTCTTCACAGAAAACATAATTAAATTATTGACATCATGTTATATTCAAAATGAAAAAAAATCAATAGTACAAAATTTTCTTGTACAGCCTGTCTTTTTCTCTCATGGCTGTACAAATCAATCTGTCTGTCCCACAGTGGACTCGGAACCCGAACTGTCTACTGTTTACAGAGAAAAAAAAAAAAAAAAGTTTAAAATTTCTCTCGCTAGTGGAATCCCTGGTGCCATCTAGTGAGGCAAAGACACTTTAACATAAATGCTTAACAGGAAGTATCACATTGGCACATATATCTTTTTTGAGAAAATGCTTTGGCACATGTTGTCCTGTAACGAAAGACATCCAAAAAACCCGTTCAGTGATAAATATTGATAGGGGGAGATACTTTTACATAATTTTATTTCTCAGTCATTTTTCAAAATATGATTGCATTTAATGATATTATTCCATTAGCATGCTGTCATTTAAACACTAGAAAAAAACAATGCTATAACAATACGTCAAATATCATGGCTCGAGAATTAGACATTTGAAATATCATAGCTCATTATTTTTTTGCCATATTTCACCATTTGTTTTTAGTATGATGGAATACACAATTTAGCAGTTAACTAATGCTGAAGAGGCTGTCATAAGATTCCTTCAAGACAAAGGAATAATGTATAGGAATAGACAGGGTTACCACGCTACATGGAAAACTGGAAAAAGTTAGGGAATTCGAAAATTGACCAAAAAATTCAGGGAATTTCATAGGGCGATTCCCCCCCCCCCCGAAAAAGCGAGTTAGTTCAAGTGCGACGACTTGTTTGTTTGCTGTCAGCACTTGAAAAACCTCTTGTGAAAAATTGTATCTTTCAAATAGTTACCAATGTAAGTTATTATTTTGTTTATATTTTATTTTTATCTTTGAATAATGCGTGCTGAATTTCATTTTTGAGGTATTTGTAACTGCGCAATTTTTTAGTAGTTAAGTTCTGGCAACAGTAAAAATATTGCTAAGTCTGTTCAATTCTTTTTAATTTTAAGAGTAATATTTATGCTTTTTTTTTTTTTTTTTTTTTTTTGAGTTATAAGAAGAGAAGGCATCTTTTTGTGATGTTTAAAGATGCTCATATTGAGTTTCGATGTGCTTACATCTAATGCTTGCATCTAATGCTTACATCTAATTGTTTTAATAATGTGTGAGGCAATTATTTGTCAACTGGCATCCGCAAGAAAGGATTGGAACTGTAACTAAATGTAAGCAATTTGTTTTCATTATTTTTAAGTATGGAAGCTTTAAAACTAGCACGTAAGCAACATCATAGAGTATTTTCTAAATCGTGTAATGAATTTGATCAAACAGAAAATAATTTAAGTGATGAAGAAAAAATTTTAGAATTAAGGGTTATTCAAAGAGAAATCAAAATTAATGATTTCAGCTGAAAACGATTTTAAGCAAGAGCTATTTAAACAAGTTATCAGGTTCAATGTTCCGTCTTACCTTCTTCGGGAACATGCAAGGACCTGACTCGGAACAGAGAGCTTACTAAAGCTATGTTCAAAACTGTGGGAAGTAAACAGGATACACAAGAAGGGTATACAAAACCCTTTATTTTTCTCTATTTACAATAACTTCCGTACTTCGGAAATACACAGACCCGCTACTTGGGGTCAAAACGTAAAAGTATAAAAATAAACTAAACTCTAATTTAACTTTAAAATAATAAACGTGGAAGATTGGCCTTATATTAACAGGAAGCCGTATGTAGTACAGAGAACAATACGTTTAAAAATTATCAAGAGGATTAAAAACCTCTGGCTGGAAGGCAACCAGCAACTGAGTAAACTTCTAAGGTAAGCGGCCTGCTTTGACTAACTGCTTCCTCCCTCTCGCTTGGCAAAAAGCCACAACTTAAATACTTGGCGTTCGCCAGACAAACTTTGCATAAATACTTTAACGCTTATAATTCTGGCCGGAAGTAGAAAATAAGAAGTGATAGTAAAGATTTAAAATAAAATAAACGTTAGTAAAACTTAAGATCCTTACAAAGTTATTCATGAGAAAATTATCGAAAAAGAGGTTGACGAGTCAGAATCATATTTAGATACATGGAGAAAGTCAGAATACAAGATGAATAAATTATTACAAGTGTCAGAACAGAAAACTGGTTTACACATAGGATGTGCGTCAGTTTCGCAAATTCCTATTACGATATTGCATTATCCCAAGATAAAATTACCAACATTTAATGGTGATTTAAAAAATTGGCTTAATTTTTATGGACAAATTAAGAAAATTGATAAGGATCCTAATATTGATAATCAAGATAAATTTGCATATTTATCCCAGGCTATGCAACAGGGTTCTGTTGCAGAAGAATTAATTAAAAGTTTCCCGCCAAGTGGCGAAAGTTATGAGAAAGCTGTAAAACAATTTCATGCGCACTTTGGAAAGGAAAATAGTTAAATTTTATGCCCTAAGACTATTCGCGGTAATTAAGTCAATTAGGATGCAATCACACTGCTCACCCGAAGACGAAAATATAGAAAAGACAAATCAAGGGTTAAATTCATCAATTCTAATGAGAATGCACTAGCGAAGTAAAGCACTGCGGTTTTACATAATTTCTGAGCTATTCGTACGAATTGAAATAATTCTTGCATTTACACTTGTACTCCAAATTAAGATTTAACTTGAAATTAATGTAGATAATAACTGACAGAATTAGATTTTTGTAGCATGGTTTACATGAGATGGGATCACTTGGGGTCACGTGATATGAAGCGGCGAATCGGGATGATGAACCCATAGTACATTCTTAAATTAATGTCCTTTTACAAATTTATTGTCTTTATTTCTTGCCTTTTTACAAAATTTTAAATGATATTGAAATATTTATGCCTTCAAAATAGAAATTCCTTAGAACTAACATATGTAACATTTTTTATGTGTATCGTGGTGATGGCGATAAGGAGCGCGCCTTGCGCCCTCCGATAACTGTGGCAACCCTAGAGGGGAAGTTTCTTACGAGTAGCGAGGAGAGCGAAACAGGCTGGCTGTCGGGGAGTATGCACGAAGTTCCGGAATAAAGCATTAATTT